GATACGTGTGCGTCCACGCCCAACGCATCCGTCCGCCAAATCACGCAAATCCCAGCAGTAGCGGAGATCGTTCGGTCGACCCCCAATGTATCCGCTAGAAATCTCTCTGCATCCATCCGGGTACAAAACGTTGTAGAAGCCGAGACTCATAATTTCTCCACTGTGCTAGGCGACACACCATGGAGCTGACTTTGCCAACCGACCAACAGCAATATCTCGAATCAAGAAGCAGATCTTGGAATCGGAAACGGCAATGGTATATTTCACTCAACACTCCATGGAACTTTAAATACGATACTTTAGGGAGCTTCGAGCTATGCCTACATACCCTGGCTACTTCGTTCCTTCAAGGAACTGAATGAGAAATCCCACGTCGAGCTCGAGCTCGACACTGGTGGTCACTTCTTTCGAGCGTTTGTGTCGTTTGGCGTCTCGGTCGATCGCATGTCTGCCCACCTACCCGTCATTGGCTCCGACGGGACGTTTTTCAAGGCCTCGGAGTATCCCGGCGTTCTTCTCAATCTAATTCAACGCGATGCGAACAAGCGCAACATCACGATTGCAGTTGCCATCGTCCCGACCGAGAACAAGGAGCAGTATTTCTGGTTTTTGAAGAACTGCATGGACGCTGGGGTGCGCTTCGCCGACTTTGCTCTTTTTGCTGACCGCGGCAAGATTACCAACGCGGTACGCGGGTTCCGTCGCATTGGTTACGTCATTCCACTCAAGCATTGCACCGTGCACCTGGTCCGAAATGTGCACTCCTCCTTCGGTAACAAGGGTCCGCGACTCGACAACGCAATCTGGAAGATCCAAGGCGCCGAGACGTCGAACGATTATACGGGCGCTCTCGAGGAGCTACACGAGTGGTTGCCAGAAGCCTCTGACTACCTCAAAGCCCTCAAGCCCGTCAAGTGGACCGTCCACGGTAACTTGGCCACTGCTACGCATTCGGACAAGCGCAGCCTATTTGGGGTTCGCTCCTCGAATTTCGTCGAGTCCGACAATGCGAAAAGTATAGTATATCTCCCTCCAACGTGGCTATCACTATGTTTTGTAGACATCCACAATGGCGTGCGTGACAACCTCCCATTTGCCGCCCTCTTCATTATCATGGAGGACGTCATGACAACAGCCTCCAGCCGCGCCTCCGAGGTTGAGAAGAGAACGGGACGCCAGCTCACGGAGTACGCCGCTGCAGAGTACGCGGCCCAGAGGACGAAAGCCAGCGAGTACAATGTCTCGCATTCAAGCGGCGACTTGTATTACGTGAGCCACAAGAGCCACCCGTTCGTCAAGAAGGAGGTCTACGCCGACGACCTCAAGTGCAACTGCGCGTATCGCGATCAAATGCACATGCCCTGCCGCCATTTGATCCGCGTGCTCGCATCGACCGATCGTCGTCACCGCATCATTGATTGCTTCCACCCGATGTTTCTTTTCGAGAACTACAAGGTCGCAGTCGAGGG